GTATCATCTATTGCTTAAGTTATTTTTAGTTCCAAAGGTATTTATAGCACATCGTATACTGAATATAACGGGAGTGAAAAGAAGAGATTTTAGATAAAAAGATCGTGGCTCTTCACTAGATTCAGGAATCAAATCAAGCCACTATTGTTACACTAATTATTTCTCCTTGAGTATGAATTTGTCTCTGTCTGTCGGTGAAATTTGATCGTTAGGGAAGGTAAAAAAATTGATTTGACGATCAACAGGTTGAGAAGTCAGTTACTCGTGGCATACGATTGTTTCAACTCGAGTTTCGATAGCAACAGAATAAGGCAAAGGTTTATTTCTTTCTACTTCGTCCAATTTTCATACGTCGGGACGTTAGAGATCGACCTGACGTTTATAGTGATCAGAAGGTTTTCCCACCTTAGCTGCCCACTGTACTTAGAAAGCGAATTCAAGCTATTGTCTCCGGCGTATGAAAGTCGTTTGAACAATATGATCGCTGTAACCGCTTCCTGTATGGAAATGTAAACGGATCGAGGAACGCGAGACATGTACTCACACTTCCAAGTATGATATAAGCGACGATGTAATCATGTTATAACGTTTTACGACTTATAATAAAATTCGTTTATTACTTTAAATTCATTTATCAATTCATTTATCACAATGTTCCTGTAAATGCAAAATTACTGCCGTCTTTGGTTGAAAATCATAATTTATACGAAACATTTGCGAAATGTATTCTGTATTTCGTGATCATCCGCGTTATTATATTTGTAAATTATATTGAAAATCTTTATAGTTATGGCACGCAGTAGTAGTAATCGACAGCCAAGGCTACATTACACCGTCGCGCGGCGTTCCCATATTACACGCGGAGACAGGATCTCCTTGGACAGAGTGTCCGTTAATCGCATATTCGCAGACTGATTATGTACTTTTAGACTCTCGGAGCGTGCCTGCATACCAACTGGATCACGCAAATCCTTTGATTATTACCTCGATTACTAATTCAAGTCACAGATTCCAAGTACAACACTTTTCATTGAAGTCATTATAAAAACAATCCACATTCTTCTTTCAATCATCACATGAGATTTTATGGAGATAGGAAATTCGAGTGATTAAGGAAATGCAATTCAGATTTTCTTCAAAATTATTATGAATGGTTCGTTTTATATAGAAATTGCAGGGTAGTTATTATACCATGCAACGGTTGTAATTATAATCGTGTGAACCGATACTCGACGCTCCCCGATGATTCAACGACGATGATAATGATCGTCCTTGTATCGATTCTAGCTCGATCGATCGCCGTTACAATTTGCAAGTTCTTTTGTCGCGATAGATTGCCGCGTATTCATTTACCGCTTGGAGACCATCCTTCACTTGAGAAGCTCACTTATATTCCATTTTCCGGGTCCCTGCGTACTCGCCACCCTTCCTCTCGGTCGTTGAGTCACTCGTTTCCATTCCAATGCTTATCAAGCTCATTTTTTTCCCGCTGGTCGTTTACGTAATTACGTTTTGCATGAAAGAAAAAAAGCAAGTGATGTAACGAAGGGACTGTAATAGTACAAATATTAGGCCTGTTCGTCAGAATTTGTTATTTGTAATTTCGTAAAGCACACAGAGATGTTTGCCCAAGTGGCTAATGAAGTGCTATTGGAACTTGTTTTTCAGACGAAATTAATTAGTGAACGATTGCACAGTATCGTGAAGCGAACACGGAACCGTGCAATGATGTTACCCCGTTTTTTAACGGAATCGTAACGCGATGGCAAAAAGTTTCCGTTGTCGGCTACTCAGGATTGCCGTAGTGAAAGGCATCTCCCATTTTTCTTCGCATTCTCTTACCGAGCCGGCTAATTTCTATTCTTAAATCTCGCACGGTTCGGATTAAACGATCTTAATCTCAATACCTCATTCAATGATTTAAACAGTTTTTATGCGAATCATATTCCTTAATCGTGTCTCCGTTAGCTTTGCTTTCAAAGACGAATTTATAAATCGACAAAATTGGCTGATCGAGCGGCCCGGTCGGAAACCTTCGCAACACACAGAATTCTCCTTGGACGCAAAATCGGCCAGAATAACCGAGAGTCCCTTTCACCGAGCCTTCGTCGCGAAACTGACCGGCTACGTATTCCATACTCGCTACACTTTTCTTCACGCTTGCAACCTTGTCGAGTTTCCAGCCAGCTCGCACCGCTACACCTACTCTCTATCTCGGAAATTTATACTACGACCAACTCCGTATCTCGAAAATTCATACGCACGATCTTAAATTTATACAAGATTATGCAAATTCAGATATTTCGTCGTAGTGAATACGTAGAACATAATATAAATTGTATGAAGCAATGGATATCTCGAGAACTTATGTATTATAATTGAAAATTGATGATTGGTGCGAAATATGATTGAAAGTAATTGTCTAACGACTGATCCGATTGTTCTCAGGATGAGGGAGTACGTGGAGGAGAACGAGAAGACTGACCCATTGATACACGCGCCCGACAAGAAGAACAATCCCTGGGCAGAGAGAGGAAAATGCATAATCATGTAATCAGGACGTAGAGAACCGAGTGGGACGAAGGAGAAGAGGCGGGAAACATACACGATGTACGATCCTACCGTGTCACGGGGAAGCGGATCGTTTAACCGCATTTAAAACAGAACTAAACACAAGAGAGAAACAAACCGAACGTATAAAAGGGAACAAAACGTAGAGCCAAAGGGAAAATATGTAACAGATAAGCAAGACGTCGAAACGGCAAAGTATTCAGGACGGACGATAAGGAGAAGATAAGATGGAAGTGACGGGCGAATAGAAGCTGCATCTAATTCTTCTTACGCGGCTCTCCCGTTCACTCTTATCGGGCCGAATCTGAAGATTTATTATCGTAGAACGTGAATCGAGAAAGCATCGCAATTAATTGGTTGAACTTTCGCCCCGTGCGCCTCGCAAGTTCTACGTTTCTCTCTGTTTGTCCGCCTCTTTCCCCTTCGTTTTCCTCTTCTGTTAGCATCGTCCCGCTCTCTTTTGAATGAGGACCCGAGGGACGAAGGATCCCGGGTGAAACAAGGACGTTTGAGAAGAAAACATGGACGGTGATGATTTTTTAATCCGACCGGACGGAGGAGATCTCGCTTCGCCATGTCCGATTTCACGAGCCTCCGGGCCGAGTTCCGATACAATCAATTCCAATTCGATTCCTATTCGTTTTCGAAAGGGCAACAGTACAGAAAGATGAAGTGCTTTAACGAACAAAATCGTGTGCAATTCGAACCCATGTTATCGTACGGAAAACTCTTTTCGAATCGTTCATTGTATCGCGTAAGGATTAATTTATCTATTATTAAGTACACAATTGTAATGTAACGTCATTATTATATGTACACACGTTACGCCATTATGTCGTACGATTAATACTATGCTATGCATATATTTCCGCGAATTTCTTACGAAAATATAATATATTCACATCGTTTAAGTCGAACGTTATTGTACGTGCTTCCACCTGTTTCCACCCCTTTCGTGTTCTCTCTTCTACGATCTTCTCATTAATTAGTACAGCGACGCGTGTTTATGTCGGAGGGCAGATAGCGATATCACGGAATTGAACGTTTCGATTAACACGAAAGTCTCGTCAGCTGTGCACACAGAATTCAATCCCATCCACAGTTCTGCTCTAATCGTCGAAGCATTATAAAAAATATTTTATTACGATCGTAGAATTGAATGACGAACGACAGGCTGTTTACCTGTCTCGAGCAAAATTTTATCGATATGAATGAAAGGCAAAGCTCGACAAGTTGCGTTCGGTTTAAAAGATTCCCGACGTGGCATAGGTTGGGAAACGCTGTTCTAGTTGGCCGATGTGGATCACTGGATCTCCGTTTCACTCTCGCGTTCCCATTTTACACGATTCCGAGCGGCCGGTTGGACTCTCGTCGCCCCGTGTCAATGCGCTACCAGCAAACCGGCTGTCAACCTGGTCTAACAATTCCATATTCCTGTTAAAACGTACTTTTACTCTTTCGATCGTCGAACGTTCGCGTAACATCAAATTACTACGAACGGATTTAAATCTGAACGAGCTCGGAAGGGTGAAGAACCGGCGGTCTTCCGGATATAATTGTAGCCACGCGCGTATAAACGGCGTAGCTACTTATAATCACTCACTATACACAAAATGAAAGGTGAGTTTAATTGCAAGAGAGAGGAGATGCAGACTTCGTCTACGACCATCGAGATGAATAATCTATCATTTTCAATGTATCGAGAACAGAAATAAAATTCGTATAATCGAACGAATCGAGGTAATCCGACAGGATCTAGGAAAAATCTCTGATGGAATTTATAATACTTAGAATCGGTTGTTTTAGCGTTGTTATACACAATACCGGCGGCAAGCTCCGCGGTACAGACTGTAGGAACAGACGGCAAAATAGAGTGAGAGGCGAAGGCGGGGGAGGGAGAGGGAGAGAGAGTGACAGCGGTCTCTCGTTCACTACGGTCAGTGCTTTCTGAACTGTTGTCAGTGACAGTTGTTCGATCATGAGGCGGTGGATCCTCGATCACTGATCGCCAATTATTATATACACCGTGTTCCAATATTTCTTACCTCTTTCGTTCGTACCCTTACGGTTCGCTGACAGTGAGACGGGCACGCGCTGAACTCCTGGTTACCACCTTTACAGCTCGCGTTTGTTACTCCCGTCGCCGTACCCCATCAATCTTGGTGCTACTTTCTACGTTACTCGATCCGCTGGGAAAAACTGGACAACCATGGTGAGTAAGAAGCTGCAAACTTTGTGATACCTACGTGACTCCATCTCGGCGATCGGGTAAGAGAAAGGATTTGATTAGAAAACTGGATTATGGGCATTGAGTTATGCAACGAGATTGAAAAAGTTCGAACCTTTCGATCGATCGATCGATCGATCGAATGATTTAGGCGAGAGGTCTCTGATAAGAAGGAAGGGTGGAGTCCTCGTGAATGGAAACATTCGCAGATCCGTATCAACCTTTGTTATTCAACAGGACAAACTTGAATTCTATTCAAGATGTTCTCCGTGATCCGGTGGATCGTTTTTTCTCCCGTCGGCTCCGTTTTCAAACTCGTTTTATTTTTCATTCGAAGGATATTACATCATGCACGACGATTCATGTAAGATCGCCGAGTGGAACCGGTCTGAAAAGAGATCGATTCGGAAAGGATTCGAACAGACGTATCGAGATCGCGACGGGGTTGTGTCACTCCTCTCCCCATTTTTCTCTCCGTTTACCTGTTACCAAACCGCCGCGACGGGCCGATGTTCTGGTCATTCGATCTGTCCCATCGAAAATTTATAGAAAGCTCGTTGCGATACCGCAGCCTCGTACGAATATGTAATCGTTCGTATCTACGAGTCGAATTGAGAAATCGAGTGTCGAAACGTTTGAAGAATAGCGAAAACGATTAGAAGTTGACGAACGTGGCCGAGAATATTTTTTTTATCAAACAGCAGAAATTCGTTCGTATTCTGAGATAAGGGAAGTTGGCAGACCGTCTGACAATGGGCACGTCTCGTAAATCGGCGGACCGGGTGACAGCGCGGGCTGCCTACGCGGTCCCGGAGGACCTTCGTTGTAACAAGTACCGAGAACTCGTTTTGTCCTTCCGGGTTATCCGAGCCCTCTCACTTTCATCGAGCGACGACCTCGTGGTCGATTCTGCTCTTTGATAATTCGAACAAATTCGAAACGAGATCGAAAGCGACGACACCGGGCCCGTGCAACCGGCGCGGCGTGCTGCGGTTTCTCATTTACATATAAATACATATAGACTAAAGCGTTTCGCACAAGGACCCCTAGAACCCATCGCAGGATGTCAAAGTATCCTTTGTTCGCTATTCACGACACGTGCATTCACAGTCAAAATTTGCACAAACGAACCGATAGGAATTATTACAAGAAATAACACACGTTACCTTTGAAAATCGACGAGCTCCATCAAATGCGAAATTTATTTGACTAAACTCTCGATGAAACCCGAAAGGAATAATGAAGCCCGAGGTTTAATTAATTGGCCGGCTAAAACCTAAATGGCAAAATATATTTGGAGAGTGAATAGTCTGGCTGACCTGTCGCGAACCAACCAGGTTTCACCGATGCTCGTATCGTCGGATGAAGAAACAACTTTTCTCTTTTTCTTTACCGTTACGCGGCTAGTCACGATTAGCGATTGCCAGGGACGTTCATTAATAATTCAGCGCGATATGCTGCATCCGAGGATGGCCGCGAACGTCCGACCATACTTGATTACAAAAGCTTCTCTCTCTGCGGTTCAAAGCCGAACTCGAAGAACAGCGTGTACGAACCGAGAGTTTGTCAATTTCTCCTTTTGAACTGACGTTCTTATAATATTCCTTTGCATTCGCTTATGCCTGCAACGATTGTGTAATAATAATATAATGCAGAGCTCGATACGAGCGCGAGCGCAGAATACAGAATCGAATGAATAGCAAATTCTGGGACCGGCACAAGGGTTGACAGTTCCATTCCATGCAAATTCGATTGGATAAAACTCGTCGCCATACCGCGCAATCGTTCCATGCAGTTTATCCTCGGTTCTCATATTTATACGAACGTGACTCTAGCTCGACGGGCACGTGAAAATCGAACGAAATTCGATAGATTTCCCGTAGCGACAGGAAACTGCTGAAAGTTTCATAAGCGTCAAGCCCCCCCGGCGGAAGTCGGGTGAAAACGGTTCGCGAACGTGTGTAGCTTGAAAACGATACACAGAATCGATAAGTAGCATAGCCGGTGCTGGTACACGCAGAAAAGAAATGTTCTCGGCTCGGTTGATCACGGCGAATGAACCAGGCAGCGGAGTTTTTGCTTCCAGCAAAAGTTTTCAGGTTTAAATACGCCCAACAGGTCCGCCGCGCCTTATGTAAGTTTCACCGGCCGCTCGACCCAGCATGCATTACGCTCTGACCCACTCGCGCGTTCCGCCGATACTAATTAAACAATTTATTACAATAATTACCGATTGTGCGACTCGTCGAATCGATTAAGGAAGTGAATTAGAAAATTAAAAAATAATAAATGATTGAATAGAAATGTTTGAGTTTGTTTCTCTTCTGCTATGGCTCTTAATTTTGTTTCTTCACGCACCGCTGCAGTCTGTCGTTAAAATTTCCGCGAGGCGAATTATCACTGTTTAGTGATTCTCCATAGTAATCGCCCATTAAGAGAATTATGTGCGTTTATAACTAAGGTAATTGATTAGCGTAGAGGAGGATGAACATTCGAGATAATTCGCGAGTGATCTCGCATCCCGACGTACTTTTTCTTCGCAAATGCGAGGCCATGAAAGTCGGTCATTGCCTTCTTTACATCGTTACGCACGTATCGCGACGCGGTGAGATTAAACCTCTTTCTTTTCAAAAAAGATATTAATTTAATTTCGAGTCGATGGACTCAGTTTATCATAAATATAAATCAAGAGCGATAGCGATCATAATAATTAATTAGAAGTGATAACTCCGGAAAAGTTGGAACGAATGCGAGTGCCTTTCTATCTTGGGAACGTATTCAGCATTCGATCAGTCGCGTGAGCGTACATAAGTAATAATAACGATAACTCTTGTTCAATGTTGAAACCGCGATCACGATCGTCGATCTACAACGGGTACGGAAGAATAATAGACGGCTCGGGTTGCTTTCACCCGATTCCAGGTTAAACGTTAATTAAAATACCGGTTAATAAAAGCCGTAGACTCTGTTGGAAAAATGCTGATCGTGCTCGACATTCAAATTTCGGTGAAAGCAGTAATTGGGCACCGATCATGTACCTCGCTACGATTTTAACGGCTCGTCTTTGCTACTGAGATTATCCGCCCATGGAAGGGTCTGCGCAATCGTCTTAACAACTCTGATAAAGGAGTCGCTGTTTATATTCCATTGTCTTTTAGGTACAGATAACGTAATTTCTGATAAAATTGATGTACAATCGTAAAGACCAGATTTTTTTCTCTGCGAAGATCGATGCATATTATTAATAAGATTCGAAATGATGTAAAATACATAAGACACAGTAGTAAAAGCCAGGGAATTAATTAATCTTGTCGATAGACGAGATACAACGAAAAATTAGTTAAAGAGGATGAAGCGGTTGTAACGCTTTGTAAGAGCGCAACCTGGCGCATGTAAGTGTGCCGGTCGCATTAATTACAGAGAACATCGACCTTCGTGTTAAAAGCTTTCTCGACCTTATTATACAATACGCACTTCTCTTTCATGTCTGTACGTGTCGTATCACGTTCATTTCTCTCAGATCAAACATCGTGAAAATCGAATACGTAGTTGCATTTGTTATGAACAGGTTACGTATTTATAAAGTAGGAGCCGAGATACGTACGTGAGCGACGCATGTTTAATCAGCTTGCGAGGTTCAATAAAATTAAATGATTCGGAAAAATCGATAAGAAACAATGAATCGACGTGTTCTCATATCTTCCCACTGGGACATAAAACAGATTTTTATGAAGCTTGTCCGACAGTAATTTAAACGAAATGAATTTAGAACGCGAAGTAATTCTGTTTCCCAACGCCGCGTCATCGATCGGATTTAATTGTAATCATTGACTTCCTGCGAGACGAAACTGTTCGCGCTGCCTTTAATTTCGTTAGATCACTTTCTTTTCCTTTCGCGAAGTTTTACATTCGACCGTGCATGGAGGAACGTTCCCCGAGCATAAACTCGATTTCGATCTGGAACGATTGCAGGGATTGCGGTAACGCTACTCTTGCAAAACGGCCAGGCGAGGTTGACAATGGTGAAAAAATGCAACGAGGTAAAGAGGATTCTATGGTCGCGGGATGGAAAAAACGTTGTACAAGGCTCTCGAGGCTGTTGCAAAACGGGTAAAATGTGAAGGTACATCCTCGACAAGCCAACAATATTCCTCAAACCCAATACCTTCAGCTCTTCATAAATTGATATTTCATAAAATCAGGATAATACTTTTATGCTACCATTAAGGAACATTATTTAGAATTATTCACTTCATATTTCGATGCAAGCAATTCATTTAATTATCTTGTACAATCGAATTCTAAACAGAATATTTTGATAAAATCTTTAAACGAATTATTCAGACGCTCTGTATTTACGAACGTTGGTGTACACCGGAAACGCGTGTCGCTGGTTACTCGAGACACCTTAGGAAATGCGTGTCCGCGGTGAAACCGCGTGGAGATAAAGAAAGAGAAAATCTGTGAAATTGGTGGCTGTGTCACAATAAACGCTGCAATGAATGAAAAACGCACCCTGTGCGTGCATCGGGAGTCTTCTATGATTAGCCGGTTGGAATACTTTCGTATACCGCTGGTCGTGAGTACGTAAGCCTATTTCTTTGCTTTCGAAAATCCGGAACGCGTCCTCTCGGTGAAATTTTCACGGATGGTCGACCGCAACTAGTCAACCGACTGTGACACGAAAAAGGAACTGATTCCTTTTTCCTAACCGATTTCGCTAATTAAATTGCCTAATGCAAATACAATAATGACAGAATCATCGAAAAAGTGACGCCGTAATTCTCGTTCTTTGTCCAGGATACTCTGACTTCTTGTTAGTTGCCTAATTGGCCCGTCAAGAGCGTTTGAAAACGTTTTGCAATTAGTTTTAAGGATGAGTCACGACTTTCCTACAGAGCATGGATACAGATTTTCCAATAGAATGGCTTCCCATATCGATGCTCCTAGTTTCCACATTCCAGAAAGGATAGAGGAAAAAAAATCAAACAGTAGGAAATATGATTATATGTAAATGCAGATTGGTAATTCTCTCATGAAAGTCCACGGTTTTTGTTCTTTAATCTTCGCATCGCGTTAATTAGCTACGGATTGTAGTAATGAATTATCCGAAAAGTGTAACGTGGAATAATTTCTGAGACAATGAAGTGAAAATACTGCGGAGGAGAGTATTTATCGAGTACCGCGACTCAGAAATTGTTTAAATATTCCATTTCAGGTTACGCCCTAGTAAACACATTGTGGTCGAACCGAACGTGTTCATTTTATGGATGTAATCCCTGTTTGGTATCTACACTATCACTTTCACGGAGTCCACCTTGAGTAAAAGTTTAGTGGTTTCTTCGTGGCTGATATTCTTTTTATAACTCGTTAACAGAAGAGCTTCCGGATTTACATTTACGTAACACATTTTATTCCTTATCTTACGTGTTGGATGGTTTGAAGTGCTACAGGTGAATGAATTAAAATCATTGAATTTCGTATATTCCGTAGTATTTCGTTTCAATTCATAAACGCAGTTTGTAACAACGGACGTCATCAGGTCAACCTGACCGGAGCTTGGAAAAGCGAAAGCGCGAAAATCGTATGCGAACGGTAACTTTTAGAAAATCTCTCCGACTTGCCGCGCCATTACGTTTTACGTTTGCTATTTATGTCGGCGATGCTTTCCCCTCGTTGTTACGATAAGTGTCACGGTAAGAGAACGTGAGCGAATATCCTTCCACAACCCCCTTTTCTCTTTGTCGCGTTCCAGTTCTAGCGCCTTAGAATCGCTGCTGGCTCAAACGTTTTCTCGCTTTATTTGAAACAGAATCGACGACGAGCTTCGTTATAAAAATTCAATGGAGATAAACGTTACCACGGTGAACAATAGGTCCGGAGGCAACTTTCTACGCAATATTCTGGTCGTGATTAAAACGGCCTCTGATTTCTCACGCAATTACCATAATATCGCTGCCTACCCAATTTGGGCGAACAGGGAAGTTCGCGACTCTTAATTTCCCGTTTAGTATGGTCAGAGATCCTCTCGGTAATTGATTGTAGAAACCGCAAATAACTTTCTCTCCTTTTTATTGTATTTCGTCGTGACTGAAACGTTTCTTTCTCTAAATCTACGGAATATAGAAATAATTCCTGTAATATTTATTTCCTCGGCCTTTCTAATTTCCGGTCCACAATGACTTATAGAAAATCTAATAATAATAATTCGGTGAGACCGATCGATAGTTTCAAGCAACGAATATGTTACCTCGGTGACCGCATTTCTGTTAATCCATCGACCGGAACGAGTCCGTGGAAAATGCAAAGCGAGCAGTACAGAAATTTTATAACGAAATGTATATTAATTATAAAAGGTCGATCCACTTTGCAGGTGGTTTTGTATTCGTACTGCGGTGCAGTTATGAGAAGTAAAAACCGGATTACACGGTGGTTACAATAACGATGACAGGTCCTATGGAATATTAACGGGTCCACTTTCTTTTCAGGGGTCGACTACTAGGACGGCCTGTTGGTTGCTGCTCATATGCCTCATCGTGATTCTCGGTACTGTCGACAACGCGGAAGGTAACTCTTCTCGATGCAAATCTCGTGAATCTCGAGATTTTACGAAACCCACTCCACACGTTTACAAAATTTTTTACACACTTTCTAATCGTTGAAAGTGTTTGCCGAAATTAAGATGATTATAACTATGTACATTCTTGGTTGTAATAAAGAGATTATATATATAATACGAATTTGCGAACAGGCACGAAAAGGAGGTTCCGCAGGCCGGCGACCACTACCCAGCCGATCACGACCGATCAGGAAGTCTCGGCCAGCGTGAACAGATTCAAGGTCACGAGAAATCGCGTTTCCAATACGAACAAGAACAAGAAAAACGAAATTCAGAATGGCAAGCCGGAGGACTACAAGGTAGGTATGATATTCATTCGCATAAAAGAAGCACTTCGATTCTAACGCGATAAAAGAATTTCTAATTCATAAATAAAAATCTTGATACATGAGTTGTAATCAATGAAGAATCAGGATTTATATATAATTCAATTAATCGTGTTTCACTTCGTGCAGCTCGTATGTTACTATACGAATTGGTCTCAGTACCGCACGAAAATTGGTAAATTCCTACCAGAGGACATCCAACCCGACCTTTGCACGCATATTATATTCGCTTTCGGCTGGTTGAAGAAGAACAAGCTGACGAGCTTCGAATCGAACGACGAGACCAAGGACGGAAAGATTGGATTATACGAACGTATGATCGCCTTGAAGAAAGCAAATCCATCCTTGAAAGTCTTACTCGCAATCGGTAAGCATTTTAAATCGACAATTCGTAAAGAGAAAATATATGAATCGATGATTTGAATTAGGTGGTTGGTCGTTCGGTACTCAGAAGTTTAAGGATATGGCGTCGACGAGGTACGCGAGGCAGACCTTCATTTACAGCGCGATATCGTATCTCCGGGATCGAGATTTCGATGGTCTCGACATCGACTGGGAGTACCCGAAAGGAGGAGACGATAAGAAGAATTACGTTCTTCTGTTGAAAGGTAAATCACACAATTAAAATTCGTTTAAGCTTTCAAGATGAACGATTGAGGTAATGTATTTTTGATAATTAGAGCTTCGAGAAGCCTTCGAAGCAGAGGCTAAAGAGAAAAAGATGCCCAGACTACTTTTGACAGCAGCTGTACCCGTTGGTCCTGATAACGTTAAGGGTGGATACGACGTACCAGCAGTTGCGAGGTAAAAATCGAGCTCTTTATAATTTCCTAATTTCTTATTAATCACTTTGTTTCGTATCTGTTTAGCTATTTAGATTTTATCAACTTGATGGCGTACGATTTCCACGGTAAATGGGAGAGAGAAACTGGGCACAACGCACCGCTGTATGCTTCTTCGTTGGATTCTGAATGGCAGAAACAATTGAGCGTGGACAACGCCGCGACGATGTGGGTGCGTTTGGGTGCACCTAAGGAGAAGCTGATCATCGGAATGCCGACGTATGGCCGATCGTTCACCCTTTCGAACCCCTCGAACTTCCGTGTCCACTCGGCAGCCAGTGGCGGTGGCAAAGCTGGCGAATACACCAAGGAATCCGGATTTCTTGCTTATTACGAGGTAAGTACTCACCACAGTATTTCATAATTAAACTGCAATTTATGTATTTTTATCAAAATTGTATGGAGAGAATTGCAATTCTTAAATGTTAAAATAAATACATTTTTTAATGAATACCCTAAATATTTAATTTTGCAAAAAAATCTGTGATCCGGTTCTAAATATCTTGACGAACGAATTCATTAACGTTCACTAGTAAACAGTATTTTAGAAAGCGTTTATCTGAATGATAAGAGGAAAGTGAAACTTGAGTTCGCGAGGGAAATAAAACGTGGAGGATCGAAAGTGAAATGTTTTCTATACTTTCTACAGATATGCGAGATGCTGCAAAACGGCGCGATTTATATCTGGGACGACGAGATGAAGGTGCCGTATTTGGTGCACAACGACCAGTGGGTGGGCTTCGACGACGAGAAATCCATCAGGGGTAAGATGGATTGGCTGAAGAACAAGGGTTACGGCGGTGCCATGGTATGGACCGTGGACATGGACGATTTCAACGGGACGGTTTGCGCCGGGAACGTTAGGTACCCGTTGATAGGAGCGATGAGGGAAGAATTGTTGGGTATCTCGAGGGGACCCAATGCCAAAGACGTCGATTGGACCGCGGTAGCCAGTACAGTGACCGAAGCTATGCTGAAGAAGCCGGAAGCTTACAAAGTTCCAGTTACCGAAGTCATCGGGAAAGTGAAAAAACTCCAAAAATCCACCACGCCCATCATCAATCTTCCTACTACTGGTATTAATTAAATAAGAATTCTTCCTACTTCAATCTTATTACCAATTTTCTGATCTTCGCAATTTGTATAATTTAAGTAATTTTATAATTAGATGATTTCATTTAATAATTCGTCCATTTAAATGGTATATTATTTTAATTTGCAATCAGAAAGATCAGCTCAGTCGATGTGTTACTTGACGAACTGGTCGCACCGAAGGGCAGGTGCTGGGAAGTTCGTACCGGAGGACATCGACCCGACTCTCTGCACCCACGTGGTCTACGCGTTCGCCACTTTGAAGAATCACTTGCTGACGGCGGAAAACGAAAAGGATAAGGAAATGTACGAACGTCTGATCGCTCTTCGCGATAAGAATCCAGACATCAAGGTAGAATATCAATGCGGATGATTATATAAAATGAATTATGAAATGACTTATGAAATGATTTTGCAGATACTGTTGGCGATCGGTGGTTGGGCTTTCGGATCGACTCCGTTTAAAGAATTGACCAGCAATACATTCCGCATGAATCAATTCGTTTACGAGGCGATCGAATTCCTCAGAGAATACAAATTCGACGGTTTGGACGTCGACTGGGAATATCCAAGGTAATTCTTCGGTGCCATTATTTTCCTAATCAATTTCATTATTTTTAAATTAATTAAATTGGACGAACAGAGGCAGCGACGACCGAGCAGCCTATGTTAATCTCTTGAAAGAGCTTCGACTTGCCTTTGAAGGCGAGGCGAACACTTCCGGTCTACCGAAATTAATTCTGTCTGCCGCTGTACCTGCGAGCTTCGAAGCTATCGCTGCAGGGTAAGCTTTCTATTTAAACGAACGATTAATCAACGACTTCTATGACGAATTTAATTTTAGATACGACGTTCCCGAGATATCCAAGTACCTCGATTTCATTAACATCATGACGTACGATTTGCACGGCCAGTGGGAGAGACAAGTCGGCCATAACAGTCCTCTATTTCCTTTGGAAAGCGCTACGAGTTACCAGAAAAAATTAACAGTGGTGAGTAACGAGTTCTAAAACGATTCGACGTTGTTTTAAGAGAAATCTCGCCTATTTCAATTATCCGTCTGCAGGACTACAGTGCGAGAGAGTGGGTGAAGCAAGGCGCGCCGAAGGAGAAATTAATGATCGGTATGCCGACTTATGGCAGATCATTCACCTTAGTGGACAAGGAAAAGTTTGACATCGGAGCACCGGCCTCCGGAGGCGGAACACCTGGCAACTATACTAACGAATCCGGGTTCCTCTCATACTACGAGGTGATCCATAGTTCGATCGTGATCAGAACTTCGATGAATTTGTCTACATTTTACGATTCGATTTTCTGATATAGATTTGCGGTTTCCTGAATGAAGACAACACGACTCTAGTCTGGGACAGCGAGCAGCAAGTGCCTTTCGCTTATAAGGAAGATCAGTGGGTCGGTTTCGACGACGAAAGGAGCCTTATAAATAAGGTAAGAACAATGATAATATTATGATAAAATCTTATACATTTATTTAACGTATTGTTAACCGATTGTGTCAGATGCAATGGCTGAAAGAGGAAGGATTTGGAGGCGTGATGATCTGGTCGGTGGACATGGACGATTTCAATGGACTCTGTGGAGCTGGTAAATATCCGTTGATTAAAGCAATGATGAAAGAATTGCGAGATTACAAGGTGAAGCTGGAATACGATGGACCGTACGAGAATCATTTGAGAAACGGGAAGTACGCCACCAAAGATCGTAAGTATTGTCAGATATCTTGAACGAATTCGTCCTCGAGAACGATTATTAATAATTATTTAATTAATTAAATTTAATGTCAGCGAACGAAGTGTCCTGCGAGGAGGAAGACAATCACATTTCTTACCACCCCGATAAGAGCGATTGTACTATGTATTACATGTGCGAGGGCGAAAGGAAACACCATATGCCTTGTCCCGTGAATCTGGTGTTCAACCCGAACGAAAACGTGTGCGATTGGCCCGAGAACGTAGAGGGATGCTTACAGCACACGCAAACGCCGCCGGTGTAAACGAGATTTATAAGAAGAAAGGGGCAAAACAGTTGCGTGTTTAACTCTTTGGCAGTTTAGTGAGACGCGATTTAATTTGACATATTTTCATGGATAAAAATATGCATATTGTCAGATATCTTGAACGAATTCGTCCTCGAGAACGATTATTAATAATTATTTAATTAATTAAATTTAATGTCAGCGAACGAAGTGTCCTGCGAGGAGGAAGACAATCACATTTCTTACCACCCCGACAAGAGCGATTGTACGATGTATTACATGTGCGAGGGCGAAAGGAAACACCATATGCCTTGTCCCGTGAATCTGGTGTTCAACCCGAACGAAAACGTGTGCGATTGGCCCGAGAACGTAGAGGGATGCTTACAGCACACGCAAACGCCGCCGGTGTAAACGAGATTTATAAGAAGAAAGGGGCAAAACAGTTGCGTGTTTAACTCTTTGGCAGTTTAATGAGACGCGATTTAATTTGACATATTTTCATGGATAAAAATATGCAAGCATGATTAATAAAAAAAAAGGCAAGAATTTAATAGATCGAGAAATAAATATTAATGAAATATGCATAAAATTCAACTGAATGCGTATTGTATTAACATTTATTTGCCCATATTATAGTAGACTGGAATTTAGGTGAACGTAGACTAAACTGTCAAAGGGTTCGTATCGTTTTTCTATGACTTACCTACGGTTGTATTATAAATCATGAAAGAAGAGTTGATTAAGGAAGTATTCACGACTCGTCGCGATCGACGAGGAACCGTAGTTGAGATTTACTTCTCATTTGAGAATTTTTATTTCTATCCTCATTCCTTCCCCCGTCTCTCCTTATTATTAAATATTTGTTCTTCTTTCATTTGTATAAATCACAAGCTGTGTTTAGATACTGTGACAAATATGTCTTGTAAATAAAAAAAAGAATAGTGATTCGCCGAAAATCGATGTTGAAATTTGTATTGTAAGGCAAAGGAAAATAAATTGTACGTACTATTAACTGCATGGTTTCTCTTTCTTATTATCCCTTCCCTATTAGTAGATTAATAATACAGGCGTCGATTATTTACAAAATTTCGCAATAGAAAAATCGTTCATTCTTCTTGCGATATGGTAACACGATATGGTCGAATCGTTAATATTAAGCTTGCAATTCGTAAAAGTGGCATTCTCTTTTATCTTTTCTTTTCCCTAATGAACGAAATGAAACTGTCTTACAACGTATTTACAAATTATTTACAAAGTTTACAAAATACACGGGCGTCAATTTAATCAGAAGAGAATTTCTAAAGATAAATCTACGAAACCTTTAAATAATGATAAGTATTACTGAGGACTAGATGTACGACTAGTTCGCCAAGTACTCCTTAAGGATGTATTGGCTATACAGTCAATCCCAAAAGTTTATGTACCTTAGAAAAACGCATTTCTTATAATTAAAAAGAAATCAGACGTCGGA